GGCTCGGATCGATCGATCCAGATATGCTGAATCAATTGGTCTTGGACGGATGAGGGTTGGATCGATCGATCCCCTCCTGGGATCTATCGATCTCGAGCTACTGGAACTTTTGGCTTCATCGTCACAATTGGGATCGATCGATCCACGCCTTGGATCGATCGATCCCCAGCTCCTGGTGATCTCTTGTACCGTTTCTCCATTGTTTTAGCTCCGAATAGGCTCAATCATGCACAAGATGCTCCGAATCCAGCTCGAGCACCTATAACCTGCAAAGGACTCAAGACACAACCGAAAAGACGCAAAAGACGGACTTTGACACGATAGATGACTCAAAACATGGACTAAACCAAGACTCGAAACCGTTAAAAACGCAACACATCATGTAGAAATTAGAATGTTCAGTTCAATCATTTTGTTGCAAATTATTCTTTTTTCTTTATCAAATTTTATTGAGTGAAGTTGGATCTTGACATACTTCTAAATAGCAAATATACGAGACTAGAATATCAAAGTTTATATCTAGTTACTCTGCTTTACTATCAATTTCTGATGCAGCGAGATATTTGGAGATATTTGGAAATATTCCAAATATGTATTTCTATTATATTTTAATTTATTAATTATAAATATTCTAGAATATTTTTTATGGATTTTAGGGTTTTATGCTTTTATTATAAATATCCTTCTTAGGCCTCCTATTATATTAAGTTGTTATTGAATTGATTAATCGAAATATTTAAAGAGGTATTGATAAACCACTGTGAAGAGTATTCACAAACCCTAAGAGCTTTTGTGAAAGCACTGAGATGAAGATTTTCAAACCCTAGTTTCCGGGTATTCTCAAAATCAACGGATCTAGTTCTATCCCTAGAAGCTTCCGCTTCATCAATTTCCAAAATCAAATCAATTTAGGTTTTTAGCTCAATATTGATAACTTTAGAGATATGAGCCTAATATTATATACTCAATGTTAGAAGAGAGTTATGAAAATTAACATCATATTACATATCATAGTATATCTAAAATTAGTTTAAACAGCATAGATGAAGAAATTTCACTTGAATGTTTTAGTTGTTATATATGTTATAGAAAATTAATTGTAACGCTCTGATCGTCCCTACCAGTGGGCCTCACGTCCTCTCTCGGGTCCATGGGCCCATCCCTGTCCGACGGCCGGTCCGCTACGTCCGGGAGGTTTTAAAGACTTTTTACCGACCCTACAAATCACCACATGATATTTCCCTGTGTTTTGTCCTCACTCTCACAGTTCCGACAATCAGTTCCCGGAAGGTCACCCATCCTGAAACTACTTCAGTTCAAGCACCCTTAACGGTGGAGTTCTCTCAGGACAGTTGACCGAAAACATAAGTGCACTTTGGTGACATAGGTGGCCAAATCAATCCTTTTAAACCTCTCCGCATGCACCACCATATTCCTGAAACCGGGGTGTTACATTAATTTTAGTTTGAATCCTAACTAATATAATTGTTATATATGTACGTAAAGTATGCATGGGTTTACATTTTAATTTGGTAACCCAAATTTTTATACTTGTGCATGACGATTTTGTAGCGCACGTGTTTGCTTTTATCGTTTTCGACAAATTTAAGATCAGATGTATTTCCTATTTAATCCTGCATTTATTCCTAATTGATTGATGTTTTGACTTTTTTTTTTATTCCATAATGATTGTTATTTTGTAACAACATCATTATTACCTTCATTTGCTATCAATCGAAAAAAAAGAAAAGTAGAATAAATAATACTCCCTTAGTTTCAGTTTAGTTGTCGTTTTAGAATTTAAATTTTGTTTCATAATAGTTGTCGTTTTAGGTTTTCAATGGAAATGTTTGGTGAAATTTCCAGTTTTATCCCTACTGTTTTAATGTTTTGGCCAATGAAATTTTTTATAAAATATATTAAATAAAAGATAAAACAGAAAATTTAATGTTTTTCTTAATTTGTGTGAAAAAAACTTAAACGATAACTAAAACGAAACGGAGGGAGTATTAAACTAATAAAAACATAAGTAAAAAAAGTAAATTTACTTTTTCTTTTATCGTATATTAAATAGATTTCTTCTAAATTAGTAATCATGCTAATTTCACCCATTCCAATAAATCTTGGTTAGCTTAAAATACTATTTTTGTTTTACATGCTAGTATTGTAGCTTACGTATTTTATGGCCAAAAAAAACATGAGAAGAATATAGTGAATAAAGTTGTTTGGGTTATATATTACTATTTCAGAAAACTATTGTCATTTCCAAGAAAAAATTACTTTTGAAATTGTTCGTTATTGAAATCTCATCTAATGTACTTTTATATATTATGTGTATGTCCTGAACCCCTGTTCTAAAAATCCCCGCCTAGCCCCGATTACTCCCCGCTTAATCGCTAGGCCCACCCTATCCGCCTCGATTAATGACTAATCCCCTAAAAAATCAGTAACCCGATTATTCTCCGCCTAATCCGATTACTTCCCGCCTAATCCGATTATTTTCCACCTAATCTTATATACCCCGATTATTTTTTAGATTGCAAGTATAAAAAAACCTTTCATTTTTGTTATTCAATCATTTGAATAGGGAGTTTGTGATGTTTTACAATAACTTGTGTTCAAATTTTAATAAAAATCATAAATTTGTAATAAAAATCATAAATTTTTACAATATTGGATTAATATATTTTAAAAATATGAAAATAACCCTAAAACTAATCCCCGGTTAATCCCCGATTTTAATCCGATTTTCCGATTAATCGCTAGGCCCATGCCGAGCGCCCGACTAGCGCCTAGCGATTTTTCAAACAAGGTCCTGAACCATCAATAAAAGAGATTGCCATGAATCAAACATCCTTTTCCTTATGCATAAACAAACTTTAAGATGTCAACGCAATTAGATATTTAATGTAGGGTATGTACATAAAATGACCACAGAAGACTCTGAAATTAACTGACACAAATAAACACTTTTAGACAAACACTCTATCCGGCTAATTGACTCTTTTATCCCTACTAATTTTGCATGTCGTAGAAAGAAAGTTTTAGTTATATATCTTGTGTCAAAAAAAAAAAAAAGATCTTCTAGAAGATTTCTTTTTGAAACCGGGGAAAATCTATTCGTCTCACCTTCGCAGCTATATTAAGCAGTATCACCTCTTGAGTTTATTTCGAATAATAACGAATCTTCTCTAACATCTAATCGACATCTCCCCTAAACTATAAAACGATGTAAGCAAGTTTTTTAATTTCCCTCTTTAGGGTTTTTGATTATCATATTCCAGTCGTGTTCTTAGTTTTTTCCAAAATTTGAGTTTTGGTTCGTGTTCTTGTTTTTAGTAATTGTTCCGGTCCTAGATCTTTATGAATATTTTGTTTAATGTTAATTTTGTATATAGTCCGGTAACATTGTGTTTGCCTCTCTTTGTGTATTTCTGATATTCTTGAGTTTTCGTTCCTGTTCTTGTTTTTTTAAGAATTTTTGAGGTCTCATATCCTTATGAATGTTTTGTTTGATGTTAATTTTGTAAATAGTCTGGTACGTACCTTTGTGTTTGCCTCTCTATGTGTATTTCTGAATAACCAACCATTTATTCTGATAACATGTTAGCGACTAATATTGTTAACGATGATGTATTCTTGAGGCGCTAATGATTAGTTTTTTTTTTAATGAAGGGAGACATAAATCTTCCAACTCGTATCATCGCTGTTGTAGATGAGCCACCAGGACGGAGGGTAAACGTATACCAAAATTTTGGACTCTTTCGAAAAAGATGAGCTGTCATTTATTAGGAAATCTCAATGGAACGACTGGACGAGTTTTAGTTTGTTGCTACTCAGTTGGTAGTTAGCGGTGGCGAAAACCAACAAGATGTGGATTCTTTTCGAAGATACCCCAATTAGATTCTCGCTTAGAGAATTCAAGATTGTGATTGGGTTACTCTGCAACAATTACCCGACTATTTAGAAGAAAAAAAAGGACACCGGAGATCAAAGTACCATACTATTAGATTTTGTTTGGGTTTAAAAAATGTGAAGAGTTATCGTAATACTAAAAAAAGCTGGTGTCGGCAATAGTTTATGTTTTTGTTTAACTAATTTTTTATCACTGTAAAACCATACATAACACTTTACTTTTTCTCGGTTTTTAATAATTATCTTTTTATGACGCATAGACGTTGTGATGTAATAGTCAATGGTAGTTAAATCCATATGCTGGCAATTCCAAAGTTAGAGGATAAATACTAGATGCTCCAGTTGGGCTAACTTCCTCATTAACCCCTATATGTATCTTGTAACCTGTCATACAATTTCTACTAGCTTTTCAATGTCCTCTAAGTTTAATATTTTCTCCTCATTTAATTTCTTAAAACTTAATGTCCCCGATAACAATGTATGTATCCGCTAACTTGTTATATATTTGAGAATAAATCTTATATGTAAGTTAACTTGAAATATATGATCTTACGTGCTAACTTATGTGTTACCTGATTTATGTACGGTGTATTGTATATATGATATATGGTCTTTTCTTTGTTTGTTAGTGTATTTTACTTTCAATTATTTAACCCAATTCTAGTCGTTTAACATTATAACTTACACTTTACCCCTTAAGTTGACAATATAACTTTTCTTTGTACTTAATAACAATGTACATACTAACTTTTAATATACTTGTCTATAAACCTTTTACCTGCTAACTTTTGAATATGATCTTACTGGATAACATTTTATGTATGGTCTTTATAAATAAAAAAACATTTGAAGTATGGCAACAATTTTTTTTAACCTATGTGTTATCCCATTATGTACGAGGTAACATGTTATCCCATTTTACATTCAACTATTTAACCCGCTACTAAACGGGATACCTAATAACTTAGGTTTTATCCTCTAACTTGACAATATAACAAATGTGTCACTACAAAAAATATGAGCATTGATAGCACATTATAATAGCTCAGTTTTCGCAACTGCTATTGAAAATATAATGTTGGATGAGGTTATCATATGATAGCGTTTCAGAAATGCTAACCCCGAAAATGAGTAAGCGGGGAACTAAATTTCAGTTGGTGAACCTAAAATCACTATTTGCGGCAACACTTAGTCGAAAATATTTATACTTAGCAACCCATTTTTTTTTTTATTGATAACGAAAAAAAAAAAAATCACGCACTCTCACCTGTAACCCTAAATCCCATTTTTCCATCTCCAAAACAAAAATTCACGCTCTCTCAAATTTCTCTTGTCTTCCTCTCCTCCTCATCGTCTTCTCTTTCTCCTCCTTCTTCGGCCGTTAAAGATACATGCATATTCATCCCCGTCTTCTCCAATTTGGTCTGATTCGAGGTCAAATCTCCTTCATCCTGAGTTGGGTCCATTGGCATCTCCATCTATAGATCTAGATTTTGTTATGGTTCTAGGTATGGAGAAGTCTAAGACGAATTCAACAAAAGAGAGAACTCCTCAACTTCTATTTCAGATCTATGGCTACCTCCCTGTACGTGAAGCTTATGGGATTAGATTTGGCTCACGAGATGATGTTTCGAGTGTTAAAAATGGAGGAATCGTGGCGGAGGAGGAGGAGCTTGAGCTATTGCAAGCTAAATCATGTAACGAAATTAATAGATGAGAAGGAGAGTGGTAACGCCGACGATGTCGAGATTCTTGAGCCGTGTTTGAAATTCTTTAAACCAGAAGGAGATGAATCGGACGTTTCAAAGGAGGCGGATAGAGTGATTTTGACCCTAAAAGTGATTTTGTGGTTTCTATAATTTTGAGGTTTTCAATTGGGTTTTCTCATTGTTATTATAGGGTATCGATCTTATAGCAAGAGGTAAGTGACAAGAAGACCAAAAGGACTGATCCTAAGTTCGGTGATGTCTACTTCAATCTTCTCAACAAGGAGACAAAACAAGGAGAGGTGTTTTATGCTTCTGTTTCTCTGTTTGTTCCATTGGTTAATTGAGATTTGATCCTTTCAATTTGGCAGCTTTACAGTTTTTGGTGAGCTTGCAGGTAAGCTCAATTCATTTGGTGAGCTTTCAACAGATGAAAGATGGTGTTTTATAGTGTTTTCGGTTAGTCTAGATAATAGTTCTCCTAAGATTGGTTGGGACTGTTTAAAGAATCGTCTTTTATCTGCTTGTCCATCCTGCTTAGAATATTTGTACTTATGTCGTCAATCAAGTGTCTCTAAGCCTCCTTCGCTTTATCTTTTCAAGTTCTTTTGCTGTGGTAGGAAAGGATTGATTCATGTTAAGTGTATAATTGTTGTCTTTTGTCTTGTTTTTTTGGTGTTTTCTTTAGATATGGTTGTTAAAACATTAATTTTTGGTGATTTTTAGATGTTACTAAAGTCTTGACAGGGTTAGAGTTTACATACAAAGAGTTAATGTCATGACATCACCATATGGAAGAGTTTTGGATATGTTTTCATCACTGCTCCAATGTGAGTTTATCTGATTTTGATGTTATACAGAGAGAGGAATCAACAATTAGCAATGTGATTATTTTAATTCTTCAACATACCATTGTTCTTTTTTCTTAGGAAACGAGTTTGGTCTAGTTTAGGTTTTGACAAGAAGGGCCAAAAATCAGTATACGTTGAAAGAGATTGCCACAATTCCAGGAGCCTTGACGGAGCTAAAAGTGAGTTCTTTTGTTTTGTTGTTTGTATCTCTTGGATGGAGTATAGCTTTGGAATTCATCGGAGCGCAAAGTTTGTTTTTTTGCTTGATGACTTTGATTTGGTCAAATCATTGTGTGAAATTTTAAGTATTTTTTATTGAATCTGTAGAAGTTTTTTAGGCTAATGAAGTTATCCATTGATCATGAACAAGACTAGGGTTTTTAGAAAACTAGCCGTTGAAGTTGTTTAAGGTTAATAAAGTTACGTAATGACAAGTTCTCTCTTGGTTGTAGGTTCTGTTTTGACTGCAAATGTGATGGGTTGTGTCTACTCAGATTTTATGATATGTGATACGGAGATCAAGGTATGGAAGAAGATCAAGAGTCAAGACAGTGAAGTGGGAATTGCTTGGAATGAGACAACAATATAAGTTCTTGGAGGGAGAGAAAGAGCAACTTATGATGTTCTTTGTGACCTTGTTTTAACAAATAGGGAATGATGAACTACTTTGTATAATTACAATTATGTATCTTTTGATGATCTATGGAAAGAAGCATGCTTTTAACAAATTGGTTTTATAGCATATAATTAATTATATTTTTAATTAATATATCTGGAATAATATTGCAATTTATCATTTAATAATGTAGCATATAAAAATTGCTACAAAACAATAAAATATAGCAAAAATTATGAGTTACCAAAAAGTATATTAAAACAATCGATTAGTGCTATAATAGAACGATCTATGATAGCACACAAATAAACCGCTATCGTATGTGGGGGTCTACCATAACAGGGGCATAACATAGCATTTATGAAACGTTATTGATGACATATAATAGCTTTTATCTCTTGCTAATAATGTACATATTTCTTGTAGTGTGTTCATGGAAGCACCTAATTTACAAGTGTATTCTACCTTCAACCATTTAACTTGATACTAAACATTTTACCTAACAACTTTGACTTTACCCCTAACTATAAAACCTGTAGACAACCTTAATTCTATGGAGTACGGACCTTGAATTAACAGATAACAATTATAGTATTTCCATAAATGAGTCAATCTTTAACAGATAACAATTCTAATATTTCCATAAACTTACTTCTCCCACTGTTTAGGCTGTTAAATCAGTGCTTTTATCTCCCGATATTTCCTAGATTTTTTAATAGAGTATTAACTAAGAAAATATTTGTTCATAGCATCAATTTAATAACATATCGTTTTTATCACCTCCGCTCCGACATCCGATTGTCTTCGTTGCTGAAGCAATTTTCTCGTATTTCTTTTATGGAAGAAGACGAAGATTGACAGCTGTGTTAGCTTAGCAATTTTTTTTTCAAAAAACAAAATTATAATTAAACTTGTAATATCTTGCTTACGTTTGATACGTATCTTGTAGTGTATAGGGGCATATTTGGTCATTTTGAAAATAGCAGAAGAGAGAGAACTAATTACAAAATAAAGAAGGTTACTTATTTGGTTTTTCATTCAACTGGGGTTTTACATTAATATGACCCTTTAATGTAATTATCGCTTTAGAGTATAACCTTGTGACTCTATTTCCGTTAAAGATAATTAACAAAACTTCTCTAGATCATATTATATTTTCAGTAAGTAATGAAATCTCAAATAAAATATGTTCACTTGCAAATATGCATAGTAATTTTAGTATTTACTGCCTCTTGCATTACCCTAAATGTGTCACATATTATAAGTTAAGTCGAAACAAAGAGTTCATAAGTAAGCATATTACCAAATCTTGTCATTTTCTTATGATAATTTTATGTTGCCCCCACCATTACAGTGGACCAAAATCTATCTAATCAGAAAATCCAAATTCATTCTCGATCCATTTGATATCTCTTTTGTGCTCTTCTAAGAAAGTACATTTCTTATGGTCATCTTTTCGTAGGAAACATCCTCTTATCTCACGATATGTGTTTTAACTCCATTCCAGTTCAAAAATGGTTTAAGAATCTTAACCAAAATGTCTTCAAAATATTATGTGACCTAAGTTTCTATATATATTTCTTCAGTTTTGTTGCAGCAAACATCAATATCCATTAAAAACTTTATCATATATGTCCAGTCAAATGCGTCTGTATGTGTTAGGTCAAGTCCGTGGCTAAAGGGAAGGAACTGCAACAAGAGCTTAATATTCATAGATGATGTACGATAACATAGTGGTGTCACAAAATTAATAGAATCGAATGAATTTGCTACCTACGAGATATGTTCAAGTATTTTTGGATAACTTGTATACAAAATTAATAAAATTCTCGTATATATATATATATATATATATGAGTTTCTTAAAATGACAAACTTTTGAAGTCATTTTCAAAATTTAGTCATAGGGTGTATTACTCAATACTTTTGAGTGTAATACTTAATACTCGTATTCTTAGGGGGTGTATTGAATAAAAGAGTTGGAGTGATTAAGTAAACTTTTTAAAGATAGTTAAAATAAACTACATATATGTAGAAAATATTATTTAAAATGGGAAAGTAAAGATATTTCTCATTTTGTTATCTTTTTAAAAAACATTAATTGGTAGTCTAAGATACATTGAATAAAAAAAAAAAAATCTTAGATTTTCAAATGACTCAAAATTGGGCGGTAGAGATGAATCTAACAGCCATCATTTTTCTTATAAACAACGACACATCATATATCCTAATCATATATATATAAAAGTAAGGTTTCACTCTCTCTTTATTGGTTCACTTGGCAATTCATTTTTCAAAAGTAAAAAAAAAATATAATTTTTTTGCAATTAAACCACATATGCAACACATTTAAACATATATAAATTCACACTTTAATACCAAATTATAACTGAAATCATAAATATTATATATTAATTTTTTTCATCCACTCAATGTCATTCAAATACACAATTATTATAATTGTAACTCTCATAATTAATTATATCTAAATGTAACTTCCATCACTTCTTATCCTATAAATAACCATTATCTCATTCTCTCATTCTCATGCATCATATCTAAAATTCTAAATATTTTGTTTTGTTTCTTATGATGTTGCATGAGTTGAAAAATCAATTAAGACATCATCAGAAGAGTTTTCACTCTAAATTTTATTTCTTTTTGTAATTTTCTTATCTTTTAGTTCATAATTATATATGTATAATGTAAATCGTGATGATTATAACAATACTTTTATACGTATCGATGGAGATTCAAAAATATCAATTTTATCCACCGCAATTCTATACTTTGGATGTTTGAATATTTTGTCACATATTCATATATCTTTATAATGAAATAAACTAGGATCAGACCCGCGGTCCACCGCGGGAGAATATTGATTTACATACGTTGATTTTAATATTGTGCGTGTTTTTAGTAGAACGAATCGTTTTGTGTACTTATAAATATTCCTAATAACAAATTGTAAATAAAATATTAAATTGTTTATAATTAAACCAATCATATTAATTATGATTTACAAAATGGAATTTTGTGTTTTAGAATTCAAAAATTAGACGAATCATGGGAATTAAAGCAGTCAAAATAGGTCAAAAACCGCGGGTCGAGCCCAAATCATCTCACTATTGGGCAGATTTGGGAAAATATATTAAACCCGCAAATAAGCGGGCCACATGGATTGATTCGCAGTGGGTCATCGGTTTTCATCCGCGGGTTGGCGGATCAACCCGCATGATAGTATTTATTGATAAAAATATAATTTATTCAACATGTGGTAGTTTAAAAAACTTTTAATAAATGAAATTATAATATTTATAAATATAATGATATAAAAGATTATTATCTCTAAATTTTTTCTAATTTATTTATTTTAGTAGAATTTAAAATTTTGGTTACTCTAAAATTATTTAAACAAAATCCACAGATAACCCCGCAAATCAGCATACATTCGCGCGACGGGTTTGTGTTTCATATATGCTACCCGCGGGTCGTGCAGACAGACTAACTACATGCCAAAATATATTTTGCCTATTGCAAAACAGGCTTAACGGGATGAATCAACTCGTTTTGACAGCTCTAATGGAAATATTATTTAGTCATACAACACAATGGAGTTTGGACATAGGAATAATAGAATATGTATCTTATTTGTTATATGAGAGATTGAAAGGTGAAATATAATGATTAAAAAATAATTAATATTTTTCATGATTCACAAAATTTAATAAATATTTATCATCTTGTTGAATAATTCTAAAAATCATATTCAAGACATCTTTATAATTTGAAATTTAAACTTCTTTGGTAAGCTATAAGTATGAAAATACCATAATTTCGATTTAATCTATTTAAATTAAAATTAGTTACATAGATTTCATATCTATTTAATTTACATGACCAAAATAAAAAAAAAATCTATTTAATTTATAAAATAGATGGGTTAGTTGTGATAAATTTTCTAGAAATCTCTAGAAGCAAGTAAGATATCTTTTAATTAATGATAACTGGCTAAAATAAGCAAAATTAATGAGAAAAACGTTGATTATTATGGAATTAGTTCCAAAAGTATATGAACAAATATATTATACGTAATTAATATATAATATTGTTCGGAATATGATTTTATAATTAGTTACCATAAGTACAATCAAATTTTATTTGATTTCCATAAACATTTGATTTTAGTTCGATTTTTCATTATTAATTCGAATTTATATTCCAAAATTTTCAAAGATCCGATTTCAGAATTTCGGGTCAATTTTCTGATTTTGACCCGACCCATTTACATTTGTACTTCTATTTTAATAGTATAGAGATTATTGTAATAAATTAGGAGTTAAATTACAAGCATAATCTGGATAAGACAAGAAAACACGTAGACATGCACTACACTAACAAGAATGCCTTATCAAATTAGTTTCCTGAAGACAGCAATGTACAGTCTTTCAAGCTTGTAGCCATGAAAGATGGCTTGGAACACATGTATAAAGATTTCAATTTTCGATATGATTTTGTGTAGAAAACATACTTCTTTAAAAACGTTTTGCAAAATTGAAAAACTTTCGTCATATACATGACCGTGTGATACCAAGAACACAGCCGCACTATTATTTACAGAGACATGGTTGTGTGGTGTTGAAAAGGTTGTGGGAAATAGTTTAGAACAAAATAATATTAAGACTTGAATACCAAATTATCTAGCCTTCAGCATTATCGCCGTGACACAAGACACAAACTCCCAAACAATGAGTAACAAGAGAGATCACAAAGTCCCTACAAACAAAGCAAAGTTTAAAGTTTGTTTGTGATATAATTAAAACAAAACCAATAAAAAGTCACAAGTATCCCAAAGCGAGATTTTCGGCTTAGCGCTCAATTTGGAGAGCCAAAATCGGAGATGTGTTGAGGATCATTACACGATTCTCCCTTGTGGCTCTCCAACAATTGAGATCTTCTTCCGGGCTTACAGTATTTACTCCATATTTATAGGCGAAAATTGGCTCATTGGTGAACAAGATTGAGTTCCCACTCAGACCACAACTATCAGGAAGTTCCTTAGCCGAGCAAGAGACATTTCCAAAGTTTCCAATAAACAACACACGGTTTCCCAAATCGGTGACCTCAACCCATTTACCACCCTCCTCATCTAGCCTACTCACTATACATGTGAACCGGCTAAAATCTATTATATCAAAATTTAGGATGGTTACCTCAACTAGAAAAAGTTCATCATTGCCAGATGCAACCATATAGTTTAGTGGCTTTTGAGGTGAGGGCATCAAGAGAGTCACCTCCAGCGAATAAGGATCGATAACGAAAGTATTTCTGCTAAGAAAGGATGCATAAAATCTTCCTCTAAAAGTGACTAAATCTGAGCATATAGCATATGGGACGTTCTCAAGCCGCTTCCACTTCATTTCCGCACTTGTTAACACCATCAAAATGTTAGTGTAATTGAGAATCACAACGAATTCTCCTTCTCTTCCCTCCTTGTTTAGGAGAAGAAAAGCCACGCCTCTGTAATCTTTAGGTTCCCAACCGATCAATCTATACTGATGGCCTAGAGAGAGGATCTGGCAGTCGACCATGTTCATCAAGGTTGGATCAAATCCTGGGATCTTCACTTTCACTGAACATTGAAAGGGAGATGGAAGATCCATATGATCATCTCGGCCTATGCCTCCCAGAAAATACTCAAAAGGCGACGTAGAAGCAGCATGAGTTTTGACTCTAAAGAGGAACATAGGGACCTTCTCGAGGGTGCATAAGTCTTTGCTTTCGAGAGTGAACTCGTCGAAAGTAGGAAGAGAGTAACTTGGGCGTAATAGGCAAGAAGGAAAGGGAAACGTGGATCGCCACGAGTTGCAAACAGAGCGAGCATGAACAACATCGAAACAGTCCTCCACATTCTTGGAAACAATGGGCAGGAGTTCCTCCGGTAAAAGAGACCAGTCTGGCTTCATGGATGATGATGATGATGTAACTTAGAACTGATTCAAATAAAACTTTCAGTAACGTACCAAAAAGCCTAAAAAGTAAAAAGTCAGACAAGTTATCTTACGAAATAGTCAGTTTTTAAAATCCGGAAGGAGCCGTTGATGGAGCGATTCTTGTGTTTACTTCCTCTAACAAATAACTGACGAGTGTGAGTGTGTGACCAGGTCAAGACCAGACCATATCCTTTTGACCGTTCTGAAAAAAAATATACACATTTTCTGCTTTAAAACATAATTTATGATAATAGGTCAAATAAACATAATTTATGATCTAGTCAGTCTATACTTATGATTCAGCTTCTAAAAGACATAATTACACATTAGCTTAGTCCAAAAATAAAAGAAAGTGAAGTGACCATATGAGCTGTCGCAGGCTCTCTCAATGTAGCTAGAACATAGTAAACGATACAAATATTGAAATTATTACACACAACAACACTCAAAAAGAACATTGACCATAAGCATTTAGACAAAGCATGCATGGAGTTTCTAGTAAACTAGTAGGAAGAAGAGAAAACTGAGATATCAAACAAAAGCTTTAATTAGCATACTTGTAATTCCATAACCTCAGAAACAGTTTCATTTGATCTCTTGCATCACCTTGGAGCAGAACTTAAGAACAGAGCTTTTGTCTGATTCCCAAATTAGCTCTAACATGATCGATTCTCCTATCTTCACACCGTTCGCATCGCAAAACTCTTTCCAGCCTCCTACCAGTCTCATTCTCTGACGGTCCTGTTCAAACCTCAGACTCGTAGACCATTTCACGCCATGTTTATCCAAGAAACTCATCTTCTTTGCATTTTGTATGCCATTCACCTTTGTGAAAGGTATGGGAAGAGTCTGAGAAAGATTCAAACAACGGAGACTAGAGTTCAGAATCGATAAGGCTGTAAAGAGAAAATGGCTCAGTGGTGCAACTAACCAGTCTAGATAAGGTGACGTTGTAAAGTGTTAGAGTTACGGTCACGAATCGGCTTTGGGATGCGGAAGATGAAGCTTACTGTATCAATATACTCTTCTTTTCCATTGTTTTTGAACATTCTTGTGAGCTCTTCTCATCTTGGCTGCTCTCTTCATCACTCGGTTCTGTGGAAAGAGACTCTACATTGGCTTTTTCTTCTTCTTCTTCTGGCTCTTTGGGGACCAAACGTAGAACCAGAGTTCTTTCATTTTGGATCAGTTTGAAAGTATAGAAACTTCCAGCTCTAAGTCCATTGACACGACAGAAACTTCTCCATCCTCGTTTGATGTAAGTAGTTCCGCATGAGTTCTTTCGTTTCAAATCTAAAGCCCATGATCTGCCCTTTTCGTTCATCAAAATCATCTCTCCACATCTTGTGTCTAGACCATTTGCCCTCATAAAACGCTTTGGAAGATACTGGAAATTCAGTACAATACAACATGAATTTGGTCTAATTCTGATTCTAGTATAAGAGATATTTTGGGTTCAAATGAAGAGTAGAATACCAGTATGTCATAACGTAGACTCGAACGCGTAATATTAGCCACAAAACAAGAGGGATCTAGTGAAGAAGACTCTGTTTCTCTACTTGGATTCTTCCTCCTTTGAATCTTCCCTGAAAATGACAGGAATAAATCCAAGTGGTAATAGTGAAACTGATTCTTGAATGTCAAGTATTATAGAGAGAGAGACAAAACAAAACTCACCAAGGTTGCTATCTTCATTGCTTTCCAGTTCTGGAGAAAGAGACGCTTCATTAGCTTGTTCTTCTGGCTCTTTGGAGAACAAACGTAGAACCGGAGTTTTTCCTTTTTTGATCAGTTTGAAAGTGAAGATACTTCCAGCTCTAAGTCCATTGGCATGGCAGAAACTTCTCCATCCTCGTTTGATGTAAGTAGTTCCGTATGATTTGTTTCCTTTCAAATCTAAAGTCCATGTTCTGCCCTTTTCATTCATCAGAACAATCTCTACACATCTTTTGTCTAGACCATTTTCCCTCACAAAACTTCTTGGAAGATTCTGTAAAAACATGACAATACAACATGAATTTGATCTATTTCAGACCCTAGAACGAGAGTTTCTTTTGGGGTTCAAATTAAGAGTAGAATACCAGTCTGTCATCGCGTAGACTCGAAACCGTGACATTAGCCACAAAACAAGAAGGATCTAGTGACGAAGACTCTGTTTCTCTTCTTGGATTCTTCTTCCTTTGAATCTTCCCTGAAATCGAAGAGAGCAAATCCAACTAGTATTAGTTAAAACTTATATAGATGGATAGAGTTCGAAAGACGAAAGAACACAACTCACCGAGGTTGTTCTTGTTGTCTAAACACGAACCATATTGAATCTCACAACAACTAGGTCCCAACATTGTAACGTGGAAACACATATCTCTCTCTTGTCTAAACACCACAATGTCACCGATTCGAAGATCATGCGAGAGAGCAAACTCTTTCCAACCGTCAGTGAGTCTCTGTCCATCAATCTTCACTTCCCAAGTTATCTTTGACGCGTCTGATCTCAGCTCCGCCGTCTTCTGCTCATGTCTTCCTTCTATATTCTTCAAGAAGAAAGCCACAGGAATTGTCTGAAGCAACATGCAAACAAAAAAAACAGACCCATTTATTCTCAATGAGCTTCTCAGAGAGACAAAGACAGAAAAAGAAGAAGGGTGAAAGAGTGTACCAAGTGACTGTGGAATCCGGGAAGAAGAGGCTTGAAGAAATGTTGCTTTGCCATTCTCAAAATGCCTAAATCTTTCAGTTTCTAATGTAGGGAACACAACATTTCATCAAGTTCAGAGTAATTTGATGAAGAGACTGTTTATATTGGTAAACTCTCCTTGGAGCTCGAGAGCTTTGGTTATTTTTTTGGTTATTGTCAAATCAGAAATAGTTTATACATTTATTGTTGTCTTCTTGGTTTCTGTATTTATTAATGGACTTGGTTTCAGAGTAAGACTTGTGCACTATGAAATCCCACTTTGAGGTAAAAAAAAAAACTACTTTTTTCATCGCATGGAGAGAAGTGGAATTTCACTGAGACAAGTCTCGTCTTGTTTCTGCAGAGATTTGCGTGTGAAGCTATCAACACAGTCCACAAGTCACCTCTCCACCAATGAATTGTAATGTACATCGTTCAAGTTGAAAAAAAACCCCACAAAGTAGCAAAAGTTAAGGAAAAAAAACTAATCAGAAGTTGTGGTTCCTGGTTTGAAGGAGATCATTATACAACAAGCCGACTTATTTAGAAAACCACACACAACTGTGAGAATTCATGAGACAACCATTTCCATAAGGACAACAAGGTTTAGAAATTAGACCTAGAATATCTCTATAACATCAGAAATCACAAGATCTTTACCTGAAATCATAAGGAACTTTTCTTTTTTTTTTTAAAGCCAGCAGATGTCTCAGGTATACAAAGGAAGATGTTTTTAACCAGACAAACACCAAACTACATCTGCCAACAAACATGAAAACAAAGATTCAAATCAAATTTCCGAACTCAAACTCTTACTTATGCCAATAAATTAAGTAGTAAACTCAGGGAGGAAAAGAGTTGTTACACAATCAGGACTTTGCGGGAGCTCTTCGAGGAGAGGAGAGCAGTCCAGTAGCGATTTGTTCTTGTCCTTTGCAGGTTTTGCCATGTTACATTTTCTCGGATTTGCTTCAGGATTTCCCCGATTCCTCTAGCTATTGAAACAGGGAATCAAATCCAGTTCAAGATTTCGGTAAAAATTATAACTTTTTCGATATCTGTACCAAAAGGAGAACAAGAATCCGTACCCAAACCATGGTTGGTGTCTTCTTTTTCGGTGCCATGTTTTGCTGATAGCTGCTATTCCAGAAATCTGAAGGAAAAAAACATGAATAGAGAAAAGTAACTATCAAGAACAAGATTTGCCAGCAGATGTTGAAGGAGATCATTATACAACAAGCCACAGATTCAAGCAGGTTTCGAATTAAAAACAATGCGATGCTTTTCTGAGTAGCATACACCAAAACACAAAATGAGACAACACAATTCACCTAAGAATAGATAATGAACCATAAGAACCCGATGATACTTTAACAATCCAAACATCTATAAGTACTATCTTTCGAACTCGCAAACACTAACCTTGATTCAAAATTCCTGAGCTAATCTAATAAGAGTGAGACATATCCCCCAAAACAAACTACTGTACCTTAAATTAGCTTTGAACTAAAAGAACAAAGATTGCTTCTTGCGCATATGCGTGTACAAACAATATACAGTATCAAGCTCTATACTGTATTCGAAAATCATGTCAAAATCAAGATAATTCCCCCAAATCTTCAAGTAGCCAAAAGTCAAAAAAATTTGAGACAATCCCAAATACCAAAATAGAGAGACCTATCTAAGTGACTAACCTATCACGGAGCTGAAGCTGATCGATCATGGAATATCATTATCATTAAAGTGACTCGGAACATCTTCTGCAGATTAAGTTTCATATGAGTCTTGGGCGAAAGCCGACTTCTTTAGAAAACCACACACAACTGTGAGAATTCATGAGACAACCATTTCCATAAGGACAACAAGGTTTAGAAATTAGAACTAGAATATCACTATAACATCAGAAATCACAAGATCTTTACCTGAAATCATAAGGAACTTTTCTTTTTTTTTTTAAAGCCAGCAGATGTCTCAGGTATATAAAGGAAGATTTTTTTTAACCATACATACACCAAACTACTTCTGCCAACAAACATGAAAACAAAGATTCAAATCAAATTTCCGAACTCAAACTCTTACTTATGCCAATAAATTAAGTAGTAAACTCAGGGAGGAAAAGAGTTGTTACACAATCAGGACTTTGCGGGAGCTCTTCGAGGAGAGGAGAGCAGTCCAGTAGCGATTTGTTCTTGTCCTTTGCAGGTTTTGCCATGTTACATTTTCTCGGATTTGCTTCAGGATTTCCCCGATTCCTCTAGCTATTGAAACAGGGAATCAAATCCAGTTCAAGATTTCGGTAAAAATTATAACTTTTTCGATATCTGTACCAAAAGGAGAACAAGAATCCGTACCCAAACCATGGTTGGTGTCTTCTTTTTCGGTGCCATGTTTTGCTGATAGCTGCTATTCCAGAAATCTGAAGGAAAAAAACATGAATAGAGAAAAGTAACTATCAAGAACAAGATTTGCCAGCAGATGTTGAAGGAGATCATTATACAACAAGCCACAGATTCAAGCAGGTTTCGAATTAAAAACAATGCGATGCTTTTCTGAGTAGCATACACCAAAACACAAAATGAGACAACACAATTCACCTAAGAATAGATAATGAACCATAAGAACCCGATGATACTTTAACAATCCAAACATCTATAAGTACTATCTTTCGAACTCGCAAACACTAACCTTGATTCAAAATTCCTGAGCTAATCTAATAAGAGTGAGACATATCCCCCAAAACAAACTACTGTACCTTAAATTAGCTTTGAACTAAAAGAACAAAGATTGCTTCTTGCGCATATGCGTGTACAAACAATATACAGTATCAAGCTCTATACTGTATTCGAAAATCATGTCAAAATCAAGATAATTCCCCCAAATCTTCAAGTAGCCAAAAGTCAAAAAAATTTGAGACAATCCCAAATACCAAAATAGAGAGACCTATCTAAGTGACTAACCTATCACGGAGCTGAAGCTGATCGATCATGGAATATCATTATCATTAAAGTGACTCGGAACATCTTCTGCAGATTAAGTTTCATATGAGTCTTGGGCGAAAGCCGACTTCTTTAGAAAACCACACACAACTGTGAGAATTCATGAGACAACCATTTCCATAAGGACAACAAGGTTTAGAAATTAGAACTAGAATATCACTATAACATCAGAAATCACAAGATCTTTACCTGAAATCATAAGGAACTTTTCTTTTTTTTTTTAAAGCCAGCAGATGTCTCAGGTATATAAAGGAAGATTTTTTTTAACCATACATACACCAAACTACTTCTGCCAACAAACATGAAAACAAAGATTCAAATCAAATTTCCGAACTCAAACTCTTACTTATGCCAATAAATTAAGTAGTAAACTCAGGGAGGAAAAGAGTTGTTACACAATCGGGACTTTGCGGGAGCTCTTCGAGGAGAGGAGAGCAGTCCAGTAGCGATTTGTTCTTGCCCTTTGCAGGTTTTGCCATGTTTTCTGGTTGTTGCGATTTCCTAACCTAAAAGAAAAATCAATTTTCTATAAGACACATGAACAGAGATGATCATAACAGTCCTTAAAACACAATTTTGCTATTGAAACAGGGAATCAAATCATGTTTGAGATTTCGATAACAATTATAACTTTTTCGATTTCTGTACCAAAAGGAGAGAAAGAGTCTGTACCCAAACCATGGTTAATGTCTTCTTTCTCGGTGCCATGTTTTGCTGATAGCTGCAATTCCAGAACTCTGAAGAAAAAAAAAAACATGAATAGAGAAAAGTAACTATCAAGAGCAAGATTTGCCAGCATATATTGATATGAGAAAATCGAATTCAATTCCAGAATTCGATAAGCAAAAAGGTTATTCAATTTCGTACCAAAAGAGGGAAGACAATAACCAGAATTCGCCAAAAGACATTGGAAAACGGAGAATCAAATCAAATCTCACAGAAACAAACAAATCTTCTTTTCAACAAACATTGAAGAATCAAATCTCACAGAAATTAAGCATTTTGTATGCCTTAATTCTGTTCCGTTGCCATCTTTGCTTAATTCTGCAATTTTCGATCAAACAAACATGATCAAATAAACATGTATAAATTGACCAATAAATACTGAAAACAGAGAATCGAATCTAATTGCCAGAATTTAGCAAAGGGGAAGAACACCAAACTCACAGAGAAGAAGAGTATACTAAAATTGTCATGTGGGTTTCACATAGTTAAGGACTGGTTCAGTCTCGTGGTTAGTCTTCGGTTTAAGATTGAAATTGAGTTAAGTGGCAAGAAGATGGGTCGTGATTTCTGTTAAAAGCCCAGGCCCAATTACAGTTCGTGCAAAAAAGCTCGATGCAGAGGATAAAACAGAGGAGATTGACGGACTTGAAGGAAATTCATAAGACATTATTAAGCTATGGTATAGTCAATAGTGAGATACATTAAAAATGAAAAATGGAAATACAACAACAATAAAAATACTTTTGGAGAAAAAAAAAAAGGAAACAAGAGGAAAGTTGAAAAAAAAAAAGGAAATTGTAATCAGACTTTTGCTTATTAAAACATAACATAACACTTGACTTCTCCACAATTTCCAATTTCACAACAATCTCTTCTCTTATTTCCAATTTCTTACGACTGAGATCATCTCTCTTTCTCTGAATTTGTTATCTTAATTCACTCTCAGATAATGGAAACCAAATCACTCAACGTCGATGTTAATGTAACGGCTTTGTTTTTTACTCCATCTTCAGGCTTCTTAAACGAACTAATAATCATTCGACCGAGACAAGTCGAGGAATTTCTCATAGACGACAACGATCATAGTGTCACGAGTCTTGGCTCTTACCCGGACTCTCCTCCTTCCGACCCACTAATCTATCTCAAATTCCAAAGCTTCGAACCAAACTACCTCTATCAACTTGTCCATACCCAACTCCACGATCATGTCTTGTCCAAACAAATATCTGACCAGATTGTTGTTAAAGCACAAGAGCTAAGAAGTGATCAAAGTTCTGATCACTTGCCACAACAACCCTTATTCATGGGAGTCTCCGTCAGATTTACACGCAAGGTATTCAAAGTTGTGTCTTGTAATTGTGCTCCATCGACAACAGATTTGGTGGAAACAGAGACATGTGCGATATGTCTGGAGGATATGTTGGAGTCGGGATCTATCTACCATATGCATAATTGTTCGCATCTGTTTCATCAAGGTTGTCTCAACGAGTGGTTGAATCGACAACAGAATTCATGTCCTCTCTGTCGCCAACCTATTTACCAGTAGCAAAAGTGAAACAGAGTCTAATAATTAGGGTTTCAAAACATGGTTTTTTTTGTGTGTGTATGGTTGTATATTTTAGTTGATCCGTGTGTTAAGAGTCTAGTTAGGGTTTCAAATTATGTTTTGTTTTTGTAGTGATCATGTAGTTAATGTAGGGGTACGGTTTCACAATTGTTATAGTGTCGTAGATTTTAAGATACTACTAATTAGGGTTTATCTTTTTATGTATCACTCAGTTAGATCTGATGAAATTCATATTCACATTATTACTTTCAATACAAGTTTGATTCCGGTATGCAACACCATTCTCGTTTTGGCAAATTGTACAAAACGAGAAACTGCTTTCTACTTTTATAAGAAACTGCTTTCTACTTTTATAATTCTTCATATGATCACTAGAACTGCTTTTGTGACACATTAGCCCAACAAGTGAGACCCAAATATGGGAAGGCATCACACAAATGAGTAAACTATTCTAGTCTGTAATTGTCATTTTAACAGATAACAAAGCCTTTTGCAATCATTCTGCGACGTCAAGTAAACTCTTATGAGACTGAATTCTTCACCTTCACCGTGTGATAACAAAAGCACATCCAGACACGGTTTCAAGAGTTCGTTCTTGAGAAAACCGTTTCCATAGCGACAACAGGGCCACAAGATAGTTTCGAACTACAAATTAATAAAACCTAGAAATCACCACAACATCAAAGATTAAGAAGAGAGAAAAGAGTTGGTACCTTGGAACTTTTCGGTAGCTTTTCGGCAGCGATCGCTTCTTTTCCTTTGCCATGTTTGCTGATTTCCTAACCTAAGAGACAAATTAAAACATGAACATCGAAGCTTAATCGCATAACAAACAATATTGTATTGAAACAGGGGAATCAAATCCAGTTCAGGAATTCGACAAAAAAAAAAAAAAAAAATCTATTTCAATTTTTGTACTGGAAGGAGAGAAAGAGTCCGTGCCCAAATCATGGTTGATGTCTTCCTTCGCCAATTTTGTTGATTGCTGCAATTTCAGAAACATGTAAGAAAAATTTAAGCAAATATATTATTCAATTTGGTACCAAAAGAGAGAAGAAGAAAGAGTCTGTACCCAAACTGTGGAATAGAAGTTTAGAACCCTCAAAGTGACAAAGACACAGAACATTGTCTGTCTAGTTCAAAGTGAGAGAGCTTCTGGTTGACACGGAGGGTCTCTTGTGCTTTGTTTTAATTTTTAAAATCAACGGTACCGTTGACCGTTGTATCTGGTTTGTATTATTTTTGTCATATTTCATTTTTGCTTAAAACTAGTGCATCATAATTCATGAGATGATGAAGAGCTTTCCATATCAAGTTACCCTTCTTTTCCTTTATTTTTGTGCATTCCTGTCAGCTTCTATCATCCTGGTTCCTGTCTTCATCCATGTTTGGTCCAGTGGCAAGAGACTACTTCACTAGCTTCTGATGAGCACTCCTCATCTTCTTCTGGATTTTCAACGGACAAACGTAGAGCCAGAGTTCCTCCTCTTTGGTTCGGTTTAAAAGTGAAGAAATCTCCATGTTTCACTGTAAACTCCAGCTTGTTAAGCTGCCAAACAAAGCAACAATCCCACAAAAAAAATCAGGTTTTCAAAGTAACAAGAATGCCAAAATTCTACTTGAAGCTGATTTCATCTCTTGTGTGGCTCCAAGGCCTAAATAAGAGACAGACATGTCCAAACCTAGTCTTTCAAGCTTGCAACTATCAATGTGGCTTGGAACACCACAGGTCAGGGGAATTTGTGCATCTGCTATGTAGAGTTCCAGTCATGAGGGTTCTGAAACATAACAGTCTGTAACATCTCAATTTCTGAAATAAGGTTGTGCACGAGAAACATTAAGAGATTTGATTAGTTACTTATATCACCAACGTGCATTTACTGTTTCACTTAAATTTCTGACAAAATCTTAGAGTTAAACGTGTTTGAACTTGGACGAATTTAGGATATATGACATACCGAAAAATGATTTCTAATATCGTGTGAATATGAACAAAACACAAAAAAAAAAAAATTAATTGTGATGATTTATAAGATTTTTTTTTTTTGTGAAACCTCTGATTTTTAGGATTATTAAATAAGTTTTTTAAGACAAGACCACACACCGATAGTGGACGTTGAAACCCACACATGGTGGTGTTGGGTAATTTTATGAGACGCATTAAGAAAATCGATTGTTTACTTATCAATTCATAGATTGCTTCACTGTAGAATTTGTTTACAATGTAATTTTCTAACCGTGATATTGATCAAAATAATCATTTTATAGGTCTAATTCTAAAAATGAGCTCACTCCAATTATAATGGTATATAATAATATTTTGTTCATTAACTTGACACCTAGTCAACTCAATCTAATACAAAACTGCATTATGATACACGAAAAATAGATGTTGCCATAGTGTGGAATCTGAGAAATAATTACAAAATTTGATTTAATTAGTCATGGTTTAATTTCAATGTGGAATCAATACTGAGAAATAATTACAAAATTTGATTTAATTAGTCATGGTTTAATTTCATACTCTGATACTTGATCTTACTTACATTATGAGCTGGTAATATATATTTTTCAACTCAAACATTTTTTAAATTTTATTAAGGCATGAGTTATACCTTGAACAGTTGAACCTAAGAGCAGTTCCATTAGGAGTGTATAGGGAAAAAAACTCCATATTAAAATAAAATAAAAAATTAGAAAAAAAGGAACAAATAAAAGAAATAATTACACAATTGAGTTTGTAAGCCAATAGAAATGCTCTAAATGCCAAAAATAAGATATAATGTATGTTTTTATAAAAACATATTAGGTAAAGAATAGTATAATTATACGTACATGGTTAATGTAGTGTCGACATAATGATCATGGTTGATAGGTCATACGTAATATACTAAATATAAAATGAATGAAATTTAGCTATAAATATCAGCTTATGACCTCGACTAAGTAAAACCATAAACGAACAACACAAACTTAAGTATAACAAAGTAAAAAGAAGAAGAATGGCAAAAATCATAAACTCTGTGTGCTTCACCACCATCTTGCTGATCATCTTCGTTATTTCTACCGGTAATATATAGCTCTATACTCAAGACTCTTATGTTGAATTCACGTAATAATATGATATTCTTTACAAATTAGGGATACCAAAAAGCGAAGCAGCATGTTTCACATTTAAGGGAGAATGCTCGGTTACCCCGCCATGCAGCTCGTCAGGAAATTGCAAAACATGTTGCCAGGCAGCTTGGGGATCAGGTGCATGTGGAAAGTGTGAACTTGAGGGCAGTGAATTGCACTGTCATTGCTACACATAATTTACATATGGAAGTCATCAAACAACTCATGCTGAACAAGAAAAAATTGCACCACTTTTTATTTCCAGTATCTTTCGTGTTTATTCTGTTTTCAATAAAACAATGGTCTGGTATCAGTTAACTGATTACTACTAGTCCGTATAAGATGTATATTGTTTGTACTGTTTCTGTGTGTTAATGGCTTCTTCGCTCAATAATAATATGGTATTTTCTTGTTTCCTTACTGTCTCAAATTTGAATATTGGAATGATTTTATATTATTTTTAGTGGTGATTCTCTTGACTCTACGTTTTAACACTATTAAAAAACGAAAAACTTGACTTTTTCACTATCTTAGTTGGCAAACGAAATTCATATAGCCAAATATTTGGCAACCTATAATATAGAAGTATTTTGATGAATAACTATAAATCTACCGTTTTGACCAAAAAAATAAAAATTAACTATAAACCACCCAAATTATTCGAAAGTATCCGAAACATTCAAAAATTTATAATTTTGGGTAATTTTATTACTAATTACAAATAGAAATATTACTAATATTTTTTGGGATATACTTATATTTTGTGATGTTCGGGTATCCGCTCGGCTCACGGCTCAGATCCATTTGGGTTTGGAATTTTGGATTTTGATGTTTAGATTCTGTCGGGCCAGGTATTTTGCTAATTCGGATTCCCGCCGTTACAAGAAGTATGAGTATTGATAGAACATTAAGATAGCTCAATTTTGGCAGATCGGTAACTAATTTTCGGATCCGATCTTCAGTTTTCGATTTTTCTATATTGGAATAAACCAGAAAATATCGGTTTAAGTCATTTCAGTAATCGGTTTTGTTCTTGTGATTTGAAAGCCACCGAATTTCTTTGGTTGGATTCTTATGATTGTTAGCTTATTGTACTCAATATATTTTTCGTATATAAAAATTCATATATATAATTAGAGAATTCTCTCTTCATCTAAGGTGTCTACGTAAGCATCCATCTGAGCAATACTATTATTTTTATATTAAAGTATATTTAAAATGTTCATTTGGTGCAGTTATTTATAATTAATATAAATGTTAGTTAAATAAAAATGAATTAAGTAACATAAATGAAATTTTAAAATAGTAAAAATAATACTATAAAAATCGTATTAGTAATAATATTATAATTTAACATAACGAAAAAATAAATAAATAAAAGTGATCATACTTAAAACTTTTGAATGTATGAATGAGTTTTAGAATGAAAGTAAGATTAAATTCATGGTATAGTAAAAAGCAATTTATGTAATTGTTATGGTGATTTATAGGAAAATTTCATATCTTTAGAAATAACGCATCTATCAGATACCATAAAACGAATGTGAATGTGCCACAGAATGAAAGTGGACGTCGAAGTCCATATAGTCAGGACGTTACTCAGTGCGAAACCGTAATTTTGTTACATAAAAAAAAAAAAAAAGTCGATTGTCTACTAATCAATTTATAGAACACTTCATTGTAAAATTTGTTTATAATTTAGTTACCTAACCGTGATACTAATCAAAATTAATCGTTTTTAGGGTCTAATGCTAAAAATAAGCTCAACCAATTAAAATGGTATATAATACAATTTTATTCATTATAAATGTATTATATACCTAGTCAACTCAATCTAATACAAAATTGCATCTCATACACGGAAAATAGATGTTGCCATTGTTGGACCTCTGTTATCTCAGAATTACAGATGCAAATCACAATACGTACACACAATACGTACACCGTCGATCTCTTCTCTTCTTCAACGTAAGAACAACGTTTTAGTTTGATTGAGGCTTGCAATAAGCAATCTCCTAAGACATAATTTCACCCCTACAGTGGTGTTAGTAGCTTTCTTGTGGGCGTCTATTTTGCAGGATACAACAATCGATATCTGTATTCACACCTCTACAGAGACCCTAGCAAACCTACTTTGAGATTCTCAGAAACTGATTTGGAGAAGGAGAAGATTAGAATCAATCTCAATCTCTGTCTCTCCTTAATCTCTCTGTATTGTTCTTCCCTCTCTCTCACTTGTTCGTCTATCACCCTCCCCTCTGTATCGTGACATCTCTTTAAATATTAATCCAAGCGTTGCTTGATCCAAGGGATGCTTCTCTTAGATCAATCGTTGCTTTTCTAATAGTCACATACGTTCAAAGAGACGTGATGTTATTTTCACAAGTAGAGGGGTATTTACATAAATACAATGTTTATATAAATAAACATGTAAATATAAATATGTAAATAACAACCAACAATACCCCACATTTTCTATTCAAACTCAACCATACCCCACATTTGAATAGAAAATAAGCTCCACAATATCTGAGAAAATAGAATCAATACGCATCGGTAAAGGTGTCTTTTGGACTTGAACCTTTCCTAGTTAACACTTATCGGATTTACTTTGTGGGTAGTGAACTCTTGTCTTGAACTAACCACGTTTGATAGTAAATCGAGACAATAAGTGAAACACATATATCATCAGCTCATTTCATGTTTATACGGTTGTGTTCATTTGGGTCCTGAACATATCCCGATTTCGTGAGAGCTATGGAGAATTTAGCCATCTCAATTCTCATAGGTGCGACCGCGACACCACTCTCATATAGGTAACATTAACTAAGAATAGTCCATTCTATCCCACTTGTAAACACAAGATATTAATGTTATTAAGAATAAACATTCATCCCTTAATCGTCAATGGATACACATTTAACTTCATAGGAATTAGTAATGTGTATTACTCTCTTGAGTCTTCCTCTGCCAGTTTGCCTTTTGAACCTAAGCCATGGGATCTCCAATGTTGCTAGGTAAGGTTTCCACCAAGTGCTGACTCATTGTGTTGGCTTTAAACCAATTCCCCTCGAAGTGAATACGACTTGCTCTTTCGGTAGGCCTTTAGTCAAAGGATCAGCCAAGTTTTCCTTTGATCTAATATAATCCAATGCTATCACCCCATTGGAAAGCAATTGTTGTATTGTGGCATGTCTCCTTCGAATATGCCTTGACTTGCCATTGAAATTCTTATTTCTTGCTATATTCAAGGCAGCCATATTATCACAATGGATACATAGTGCAGTCACCGGCTTTGGCCATAGTGGAATATCTAGTGCGATAAATTCCGATTCCATTGTAGAACTTGCTATACACGTCTGTTTAGATGATTTCCAAGACACAGCACCACCACCAAGTGTAAACACATAACCACTTGTGGACTTACTATCCGTACTTCCAGAGATCCAATTGGCATCACTATATCCTTCTAACACTGGAGGATACTTAGTGTAATATAGACCATAATTCATTGTATGCTTTAAGTATCTCAATACTCTAACCAAAGCATTCCAATGTTCTCCATTTGGATTACTTGCATATCGACTTAATCGACTCAATGAGTAAGCCAAATCTGGTCTCGTACAATTTGTAATGTACATGGTACTTCCAAGAATTTGTGTGTACTCCAACTGAGACACACTTTCTCCTTCATTCTTTGAAAGCTTACACGTCGGATCAAACGGAGTAACTACTGGTCTATCATCAAAGTGACCAAACTTCTTTAGGACTTTCTCCACATAATGAGATTGAGTAAGTGAATACCCATTTGGCTCTCGTCTAATTCTAATTCCAAGAATTACATTAGCCAATCCCATGTCTTTCATTTCGAAATTGTCACTCAACATCTTCTTTGTGGTATTGATATTATCTCTACTTGTTCCAATTATCAACATATCATCCACATATAGACATACAATGATAGTATCCTTCTTGGTTTCCTTAATGTAGACACACTTGTCACATTCATTTATTTTAAAACCATACGACCTCATTGTATTATCAAACTTCTCATGCCATTGTTTTGGCGCTTGCTTAAGTCCATACAAAGACTTCTTAAGCTTACAAACTTTCTTCTCTTTCCCTTCGACTATAAAGCCTTCGGGTTGTTCCATATATATTTCTTCATCTAGTTCACCATTTAGGAATGCTGTTTTAACATCCATTTGATGAATCTCTAGATCATATATGGCCGAAACTGCAATTAGAAATCTAATTGAAGTGATTCTCGTCACCGGAGAATAGGTATCAAAGAAATCAAGACCTTCCTTTTGACGAAATCCTTTCGCCACTAGTCTTGCTTTATATTTCTCAATCGTACCATCCGGTCTCAACTTCTTAGTGAATATCCATTTATGTCCAATTAGTTTATTACCAGGTGGTAAATCAACCAATTCCCATGTATGATTACTCAAAATGGATTCAACTTCACTTTGGATAGCCTCTTTCCAATAAGAAGCTTCCAATGATTCCATTGCAGCCTTATACGTTTGAGGTTCATATTCACTCAAAAACGTCATAAAGTCTGTGCCAAAATCTTTAGCAACTCTTGCTCTTTTACTTCTTCTTGGTTCATATTCCTCTTCTTGAATACGTACACGATCATTGTCATCACGTACCCGTTTGGTACATGGATTTTTAGGCTCTTTGTATGGAAATACATCCTCAAAGAATTCAGCCTCATTTGATTCAATGATCGTATTTACCTTTACCTCAGCATTATCAGATTTATGAACTATAAATCTATAAGCTGCACTATTCTCCGCACGACCGATGTATACACATTCCACCGTTTTTGGTCCTATAATAGTTCTTTTTGGTAAAGGTACTTGAACCTTAGCAAGACAACCCCACACTTTCATATTTTTATATGAATGAGTCTTATCTTTCCACATCTCATATGGAGTTTTATCACACTTCTTATGAGGAATCTTATTCAAGATTGAATTAGCCGTGAGAATGGCTTCACCCCATAAGTTAGATGGTGCACCCAAATCGTTTAACATGGAATTCATCATCTCTTTAAGAGTTCTATTCTTGCTCTCGGCAACTCTGTTTTGCATTGGAGTATAAGGTGCCGTAGTTTGATGAATGATTCCATATGTAGAACAAAAATCAGAGAATTCATTCGACAAGTATTCTCCACCACGATCTGATCGGAGAATCTTAATTCTCTTATCTAATTGATTTTCGACTTCAGCTTTGAATTTCTTAAACATATCCAAAGCCTCATCTTTAGTCTTCATCAAATAGATTTGGCAAAACTTACTGTAATCATCAATGAAAGAAATATAATAATTCTTTCCTCCATGACTTGGAGTTGATTGAAAATCACACAATTCTCTATGTATTAAACCAAGTAATACATTTGACTTCTCCACAGATTTGTAAGAGTGCCGTGAATATTTTGATTCTACACAAACTTCACATTTGATTCTTTCATGATTCTTAAGATTGTTCTTCGGTAACAATCCTAAATTCATCATTCTATACAAAGAATGATAATTGACATGTCCCAATCTTGCATGCCATAAGTCATTTGAATCAAGCAAATAAACAGAAGCAGAGCTATTGCCTGCGTTTTTATTAACGATCGGTACAACATTCATTTTGAAAAGACCATCACATAAGTAGCCTTGTCCCACATACATCCCACCTTTAGTGAGTACAAACATATCAGATTCAAATACCATCTTGAATCCTTTGTTGCTTAGAAGGGAACCCGAAATCAGATTCTTTCGAATCTCAGGGACATGGAGCACGTTCATCAGTGCAAGTTCCTTCCCAGATGTGAGTTTTAAGACCACTTTGCCTTTCCCTTCTATCTTTGCGGTACTTGCATTTCCCATGTACATATTTTCTCCACCAGAGCCAAGTACGTACATTGAGAACATACTCGCATCAGAACACACATGCTTTGTAGCACCAGTGTCTATCCACCAATCATTGGAGTTTGTCATCATGTTTGCTTCGGAAACGACCGCAACAAACTGATCTTCGACAAGGTTTGCGTTATTTGCGTCTCCAACCGATGTCCCTTCCTTCTTATGGCGGCAGTCTTGGCCCTATGTCCAGGCTTTCCATACACCCAACAAGCACCTTGTGGCTTGTTCTTGAAGTTAGAACCTTTTGGTGGAATGAACGGTTTCTTACCGTTCTTGTTCTTCTTGAAGCCTTTGAATTTGGAACTGTTTCCCTCAATTACATTGGCCTTTGCTTCCATAGAAGAAAATTCAGATTTCTCATTCTTACTATTCTCCTCTTCGACACGAAGTTTGAGAATTAGTTGCTCAAGACTCATGTCTTCATGAAGATGCTTTAGATAGATCTTGAAATCCTTCCATGTAGGAGGCAACTTTTCAATGATCGAAGCAACCAGAAACGCCTCATTCATCCCCATATCTTCATCTCTCAATTCATGAGCAAAAATCTGGATTTCTTCCACTTGTTTCACCACAGAGATGGTGTCACTCATCTTGAAATTCAAGAATTTTCCAACGATGAATTTCTTAGCACTTGCCACTTCTGACTTGTATTTCTTCTCTAACGATTCCCACAACTCTTTTGGAGTTTGAAATATTTGATAAACATCGTAGAGAGAATCATCCAGGGCATTAAGAATGTAGTTTCACTACAAGAAATATCAACATTGATAGCACAAGAAGATAGCTCATTTTCCGTAACTGCTATAAAAGATGAATGTTTTATTTTGATTACTATATAATAGCATTGAAATAACGCCTAGATAAAAAATTACTAAACGAAAAGCTAAAATCATTTATTATGCCAATACTTAGAGGAAAAAATCCACTTTAAGAGTTATATATATCAGATCTAAAAAATTTTAGTGCCATCATATATACCAAAGCCAAAAAAAAATTACCCATAGAATCCACGACAAAAAAAACCTAGATCTCTTCCAATCCGCCATAGACTCCACGAAACTCTTCGCCAGCCTCATTTTGCGTCCATTCGTTCATCTTTCCTTCAGTCTCAGGTGATTCGTCACCATCCTGAAGAATCGTCTCCTCTCATCTCTAAACCCTAGCCGCCGATGTCGTCGCTGATTCTCCTCGTCGTATATGTCTCTTGTTAATTTTGTTTACTCGTCATCCCCTTACCTCGGAAAAAGTTAGGGTTACGGATCCGAATTAGCAACCATGGAAGAGATCACCGATGGAGTGAACAACATGAACTTGGCCGTTGATTCCCAGAAGTAAAATCGGATTCAGGTTTCAAACACCAAGAAACCATTGTTCTTTTACGTCAATCTAACAAAGGTACATAGTTTAATTCGATTGATATGTGACTCGTATTCTAAGCTTTCAAATTTCTGGACTTGAACAATCTCTTTCGATCGAGAGGATCTATAGGCAAATGGCTTGTATTCTAGTTCATCTGCTCATCGTGATTCTCTAGTTCTGTAGCGGAAATGATTGTTTCTTCAATTGCAGCATAAAAAAATCAGCTTTAATCATGGTCTATAGCTTAACTTTTCCTAGTATAGATTTTGATTTACATTTGGTCAAGCACAAGGATGTTGCTTTGTGTTCCTCTGTGCTTCTCGTTAGCTGAAATCTAGGTTGCATTGGTTTGACCAATTGCTTTGTTTTGAGTTTGGACAACGCAAAACTTGAAAGTTAGAATCATCTCTAAGGGGATGCTTAGTTATTTAGATCGAGTTACATCTATAACCTATATAGCTTATTGTAGTGTTCTTGAAGTCTTTGTTACTTTAGAATTTCCTAAAGTGAATAAGGCTTCTAAGATGGTGTCTTTTGTCCCCTTGTTCTTTTGTTTCATGTAGCCTATCGACGGGAGTGCTAATAGGAACAATTGTTCAAATCAAAGTTTTATGCGTTCTCCTTTTGATGGGGCGAAATAGATAGACGAGAAGAAATTGAAGAGATCGAAGTTTGTCTCTGTCCTTATGATGTTAGTTCTATTTTGTTTAAGACTTATGATGATAGTATAAGATTTGGTATGATGTTATGTAAGACTTGTTTGGCTAATTGGTTAATGTAATATTACTTGTTGATGATTTATAAAATATAAAAGTTATATATAATATGACGTGTTTGTCAAATTAAGTAAATTTTACAAAATTGGGTTCCAATATAAAATTTATTTATATAACGAAAAAAATGTTCCGACATTATATAAAACAGCACTAAACGTGTGTTATAATAAAGAATATTATAACATTTGAATAATGCTATAATATGAAAATGTTATCGTATGTGGGGGTCTATTATAGCATGTTAAAAACGTCATCGTATATGGGGGGTCTACCATAACAGGGGCATAAGACAGCATTTATGAAAACGCTATTGATGACATTTAATAGCTTTTTTCTCTTGCTAACAATATAGATATTTCTTGTAGTGTTTTTGCACAAAAACTCATTCTGTGACCATGCCTCTGATGCTTTAATGATTTCATCCGGAATATCTCCTTCAACAGGTAATTACGGTGCTTCAGAAGTCAAGCATTGTGCCAGATTCAAAGTCGTAAGATAAAACATCATCTTCTGCTGCCATCTTTTGAAATCAATTCCTTTGAAAACAAAAGGCTTCTCAATGTAATTTTCCACATTCCCAACAGATTGATCCATCTATCAATTCAAGACAACAGAGAATTGATATGAAAATTCTGTCTTAGATTGTTGGACCTCTGTTATCTCAGAATTACAGATGCAGATCACAATACGAACACACAATACGTACACCGTCGATCTCTTCTCTTATTCAACGTAAGAACAACGTTTTGGTTTGATTGAGGCTTGCAATAAGCAATCTCCTAAGACAGAATTTCACCCCTACAGTGGTGTTAGTAGCTTTCTTGTGGGCGTCTATCTTGCAGGATACAACAATCGATCTCTGTATTCACACCTCTACAGAGACCCTAGCAAACCTACTTTGAGATTCTCAGAAACTGATTTGGAGAAGGAGAAGATTAGAATCAATCTAAATCTCTGTCTCTCTTTAATCTCTCTGTATTGTTTTTCCCTCTCTCTCACTTGTTCGTCTATCACCCTCCCCTCTGTATCGTGACATCTCTTTAAATATTAATCCAAGCGTTGCTTGATCCAAGGGATGCTTCTCTTAGATCAATCGTTGCTTTTCTAATAGTCACATACGTTCAAAGAGACGTGATGTTATTTTCACAAGTAGAGGGGTATTTACATAAATACAATGTTTATATAAATAAACATGTAAATATAAATATGTAAATAACAACCAACAGCCATAGTTTGGAATCAATAATGAGCATATTTCGATTTTATTATTAGTTATTGCTTAAAATAAAACTTTCATACTTATTCTTACTTATATTATGAGCTATAAAAACAATAAAAGGAGAGTTTTTCAACTCAGACATTTTTTTAATTTTAATTTTATCAAAGGCATGAGTTATATAGCCCTTGAACCTAAACGCCAAAAAATATTAACGTATATTTTTATAAAAACATATTAGGTAAGGCATAGTATTATACATACATGGTTAATGTAGTGTCGACATTATGATCATGTTTGATAGGTCATACATAATATAAGCCATAGAAAATGAATGGAATTTATCTATAAATAACAGCTTATACTCTCGACTAAGTAAATCCATAAAGGAGCAAAACAAACTTAAGTAAGAAAAAGGAAAAAGAAGAAGAATGGCAAAGACCATAAACTCAATGTGCCTCACCACCATCTTGATGATCATATTCGTTATTTCTACGGGTAATATATAACTCTAAACTCAAGAATCTTATGATAGTGTTTGAATTCACACATCAATGACATATATTTGTTACAAATTAGGAATACCAAAAAGCGAAGCAGCATGTTTCACATTTAAGGGAGAATGTTCGGTTACCCCGCCATGCAGCTCGTCAGGAAATTGCAAAACATGTTGCCAGGCAGCTTGGGGATCAGGTGCATGTGGAAAGTGTGAACTTGAGGGTAGTGAATTGCACTGTCATTGCTACACATAATCTCCACAAGGAAGTTATCAACGAATGCTGAACAAGAAAAAATTGTACCGCTTTTTATGTTCTATATCTTTCGTGTTTATATATTCTGCTTTCAATAAAACAATGGACTAGTATCAGTTAGTGTGTTAACTGATTACTAGACCGTATAAGATGTATATTTTTTTATACTGTTTATGTGTGTTTATCGCTTCTCGCTCAATAATAATATAGTATTTTGTTGTTTCGTTACTGTATAAAATTTCAATATTTCTTTTTTTTTGCCATGGTTACAAAAGCCTGGGTTAGCTTGTTGTACTACCCAATTTTCATTTATATGATATTTACAGTTTAGCAAAAAAAAAAAAAAAAAAATCAATATTGAAATCATAATTTATATTATTTTTGTTGGTGACTCATTTAAACCAGAATTTATTTTAAATGGCCTTATATATATATGTATAAATTAAAGTGATAAAACTTGACTTTTTCACTATCTATAGAGAACAAACGAAATTGATATAGCAAAATATTTGACAACCTATATTATAGAGCCGTTTTGATGAATAACCATAAAATTTTATATGTTACATGTTCTTAGGTTAAAAAGATCACATTCATTCTTAAACACAGCAATCAATATGGAATGCCTCTTAATACTATAAGGACCGACTATTACAAAACTAGATGCAAATCTCAATTCGTTTTGCTACTTAATAATATAGACTAAATATAATTTCAAATAAAAAAGTACTAAAAAACTTTAGTTCAGAACCGTCTATGAAAGACGCAAATTGTAATAACCAAATAAAACATTATATACTCAGAAAAAGAGCCTAAAATCTTGTTCTACATTGTTCATGACGATTTCATCATTTCCATCAATCTAGTGAAGATTTTTAGTTACCTCTTATATTTATTTTTAGCTTTACTTAGCACCATGTGATTAGTGATGTCTCTATATTTTACCGCTTTTAAGCACACTTTTCTCGTGCATTTAGCTAAGTTTCATCTCTTTTTCATTGCATCCATAGCCCTTATCATATCATTTTCATCACTTAGTACGATTTGCATTGCATGGCATAGCATATTGCATATTGGATGTGTTTCAGGTATTTGGAGCTTATTTGGGACTTAATGGATGCAAAGAAGAGAATTGATGATTTAGAGCCAGTCTGAAGTCCCTCAAAGATCGACTCAGATGGAAGTCTTGCATTGCGATTTAGCTTCAGAGCTCTTCATACAAGTTATAGGAAATTGAGTTACCTTTCCAACGGAGGTGATTTCAAGCGAATCAGAGCTTTGATGCAAGAGTTATGGTGGTTTTAATGGAGACATATGCAGAAAACTGGTTGGACTCGACAGGAGGTCGAGCAGGCGCTCAGAAACCACCAAGGGTTGGACTCGACCACACCAACTCGACGTGAGGTCGAGTAGGACACCATCAAGGAGCACCCTTTGAAGAATCACTCCCCCTCGACCACATGGACTCGACGACACGTCGAGTAGGACGTCAGGAAGCTGTCTGGACACAGACTCGACCACGCAGGCTCGATGTCACGTCGAGTTGGACCACCCACCGACTTCTTATTTTGTCTTGTAGCCAAATTAGGGCAACCTAGTATTCCTATAAATAGGGGTACACCCTTTTATCCAGCGGATATTTCTTTTATCCAGCAGATATTCCTCTGCTCTCTCATAAACCCTAGTTTTTGTAATCGTTTTTCCTGCTGAATCTTTGAGTTTTTGCATTTCTTTTCTTCGTCAAAGTTGTAGATCTGTCTCTTATCTATAACATACTTGCTTTTCAATGATTTCTGGGTTTGAAACGTTTTCTGGGTTTTTATGCATGATGTTCTTCAGTGTTCTTGAGTAGTGGATTAGGGTTCTTGAGGATGGGTTAGATTAGGTGTGGAATCCTTAGTATATTTAGGTGGTTAAGTGTAGAATTGCTTGATTTCCCTTCTGGTTTAGTAGATCTTAATGCTATTTCTTCTCTGATCAATTGGAAATTGATCTCAGACATTTTCACACCCAAAAGGTGTTTGATGAAATGTCTGAACAAACTTTTCCAGAGATTTGCACACTCTAGCCCAAGAGATTGGATGTTTAGAATGCTTATTGACTCTATTAGATTGAATCTTAATGCCTGCTAGGTTATATTTCTTCAATGAGAATTGAGTATGAAAGTGATTTAGCTTGAGAATCTCTGTCACGAGAGTGGATTGATTTGTATTTGAATCTATTGTCTAGGGATAGCTTGATTGAGTTTGTTAACCACCTAGATAGACTAAGGAGACTGCTATAATCGATTACCCCATTCCTCAAGACCTTTTATCTCTATTGATTGCTTGAATCTTGCTTACTTGTTGTTTACCTATTCTCTGCACTTGCTCATTCATGTTCTGTAGTTTTATAGTTTTTATGCATGTTCGCTTAGGATTGCTAAATAACAAACCTCTATTCTGCTTGGCTTGACTTAGTATTCTCTGAGCATATCTTGATTGATAGTAAGAGCACCTGATTGGATTGATAACCTCTTATACTGCAATGACATGAAAGTATATTAGGGTAATTGATAGCAAAAATCCTAGTATCAATTAGTCTTTTAGTATTGATATATTTGTGGATTGTGCAGAGTATGGAGATTTAATGATTGATTAATGTTAGAATCAGATTTGTGTGGTTTCTTTCATTTAAGATGCTTTGGAAATTGATTCAGGTGACTAGTGAATCAAGTGAAATTGTTTGTTAATGCTCATTGATTGATTTTTCGAACTTTTAAAATTGTAAGAGGAGATTATTCGAATTATTTCCCCTTGTCGGATCAGTTTCCAGTATGGTAGGGAACGCACGGTCTCGTTAGAAAACCAAAAAAAAACTTGAAAAGGCACACATTAAAAAAAACAATGTAGCACGTACACAACATGGCACATGGAAAGTAGGTGACTAATGTTACAACATCGTCAATTATTTCGACAATCAAAAGAGAAAAACAATAGAAAGGAAAACAAAGTTTTATCATAGCTTCTCTTGTTTTTGTTTGTTATGCTTGAAGATCACTTGATATGACCTCATGAATATTCAGCGACGACAATGGCAAT